GTTTCAGTATCCCGGTTATTAGAAACATGGTTACTGTAGCTGGTATATTCCGATAGTAACCAGGATACTGTGGCATGTAAACGCAGTATCCCAGTTACTTTAACATAAAGTTGAGTGTGCATGCGTCCAAAAGACAAATACTTTCCAGTCTTTTCACCACAACAGTAGCGACATAAATAAATTGACCAACATAAATAAACTGACCACACATGAGTGAAATGACTGTAAAATAAAAAGCTGCATTAAACCTGCACATGTACAATCTGCACTCGTGTGATCGCTGAAAAGCTAAAACATGAACTATCTCCTATATGATATCCACACACAGTGTTGGGAAGGTGACTTTTAAAATGTATTCCCCTACAGATTACAGATTACATCCCCCACAACGTAGTTTGTAATGTAATCCATTAAGTTACTTAAAGTGAGTAACGTAATCTGAATACTTTGGATTACTTGATATTGTCATACTTTTTTAAACTACATGAATGTAACAACCACATCCTGAAAGTTCTTGTTTGTTTTCTTCAAATTGTCTGTTGAGCCCAAGTCTCCATGAACAGACAACTGTTTACTGTAGAGAAGCAAAGACGAAGATCTGAACATAAGATGTTTCGTTTTATCTGATAAAAGAAAAAAAAAAGGTCCAGTCTTTACTTAAACATATTAAAAATATTATTGATAGAGAAATGATTTTTATATGAGACACTGCTGCCTGAAATTATGTTCACCTACTGTTAGTGTCATATTGTTTAGTCCTGGTTTAGTCCTGGTTTAGTCCTGTTTTAGTCCTGGTTTAGCCCAAAATATGAAAACAGGAAAATACCGCCCTGTAATCCATTTATTTCAACAACGTAACTGTAATCCAATTACCATTCATGGAAACAGTAACTGTAACTGAATACAGTTACTCTTTGTACTCTGATTACGTAACTCTGGTATATGTAATCTGATACTCCCCAACACTGTCCACACAGAACAGACTCACCATCATCAGCACCTCTTCTGTCACAAAAAGAACACACATAATCCACTGAGTCGTGTCATTTAGTCCGACAGAAGCTGAAACGCCTCAGCGACACAAGGAGCAGCTGTTTTTATCACCGCTAACAGTTTATGCTAATGAGCCATGTGGTTTAAGTTTCGTTTCTGTAAAATGTAAACAAAGCTGAATTATATTCTCAAACGGCTGATGTGGATCTATAGTGGTTATGGTTTATATGTTGTAAAGTTGAGTTTATTTATGCAGAAGATTTAATGTGGGTTTTAATTGTGGGATATCTCGTAGCTCCTCACCGCTGGTTAAATCTCCCGAGCTTCTGATGCTAAAGGAGCTCACGGTTTGTATTTTTCTTGGTTTATTAAATTGATTTAAGTTCATTTTTGCGCTTGTGCATTTGTAAGATTATGTCAAGAAACCGGGATACTCCATTTGATCATGTATATGCGAATATGAGTGTCCCGGTTTCTCCAGCGTGCATGTAAACGCAGTAACCTGAATACTGACATAACCGAGATATGGCTAATAACCGGGATACTGATGTGCATGTGTACACACTCGGTCTCAACTGAACTTAATGCAACAAAATAACGTGTTAACTTGAAAACTACTACTCGATGACATCGCAAGGTGGAACAGAGTGTTTTGAGCTTTGGAGATGTAGACAGACTCATAATAAAGCGTTAATCAAACATGTGTGAATGAAACAAAACACAACTCCAGGTCTGTTTTTGAGAAAAGAACAACATTCTAACACGACTAAACGCTCACAAGAGTCAATTTTGTGTAATATAAGACCTTTAATATCTTCTATATCTTATGAAGTATAAAAGAACTAAAGCTTGTTAAACTTTTCTTGTCCTCTTGAGTGTGACTGGAGCCTGCCTCATCCATCACTCTGAGCACAGCCAACCGAAAAACTCCAGACTGTCCCTAAAACCTCTCAGAACTCAGAACAGAGCAGTCCAACAGCGCACTTCCTGAGAGCCGCAGACGTGATAAAGACGAGAGAGGACTTCATTTAAGGAGGACAGCGCGAGCCCAGGTGAGAGGAAGGATATGACAATCTCTGAGACACTTTAAAGTTTCATCAGGAACACAGAGAGAGGGAAGGAAGTTGTTAAAACTCCAATTCTGAACTATACTTTTGGACACTTCAGCTTTTGCAAGTTTACTTTTTAAAGGTCCTATATTACACAAAATTGACTTGAGAGTTTAAAGGTCCTATATAATACTAAATTGACTTCTTTATTATTAGTCTTTCTACATCCCCTAAGCTCAAAATGCTCTGTTCCTCCTTGTAACGTCATGGTACTTTTCAAGTTAACAGCTACATTTTACCCTTTAGTTCAGTCGAGATTGGCAATTCCAGAGCTGAAATGATCCAGATGATTCTAGTGAAGGTGTGTGGAGTTTAAAAACACAGTGGTGCACTTCCTGTATTACCACATGGCATCAGAAATAGGTTTTCTGTATCAGAACTCAGCCTAAATATACAGGGTTTGTGTGTTAAACATTTGGAAATGAAACAAAACACAACCGCAAGTCTGATCAGAAAACCGTGTACCATTTTGGCACTTTTTTCATGGTTTGGGTGTTTCCTGCAACTTATTCTTATACTTATATGTTAAAATGTTGACAGTGAAGTGTGGAGAGGTTCTAGTCTTGTGTGTGAGTATCTGCTGCTCCTGTTCCTCCTGTACCACTGTCACTTCACTCTACTGCACATGTCTCCTGCAGAAAGAGCCTCTGTTCTGTCTGGATCATGTCAGTCGATCGCACCATTACTTCTGCACCACTGAAAATGTAACAGTTAAACAAATTATAAAGACGACTGAGAAAACTGAACACAAATGGCCCAAAAACAAAATCAGATTTTGTAGATTACAAGAAATCTGCATCTGAAAACGGGAATTGAGCAGCAGAAAGAAAGTTTGGAGTGAGAGAGAAACTTGTGACACTGGGAGGATGCACCATGAAACTTTCCTGAAGTCACTGGATGGATGGACAAAGTCTGGACTTCAGTGACACTGAAACCATCCTGTCGAGATTCAGAAAGACCCGAATAATTCTAACTGGAACTGATGCTGAGTCTGACGACAGCGACACAGAAGAGGAAGTGACGCTCTGTTTACCTCCGGAGGTCGAGGCCGAGTTGTTCAGAAGTGACACCGAGGATGAAGAATTGAATGGATTTAGTGATTTGGAGTGAGATGGAGAGTTTGTTAAACTTGTTCTGTTCTGTTGTTTATGTTATAGTTTATCTGAAGAACTGTTCATATGTGACGTTAACAGTCTGTTGTTCTCTCTTCTATTGTTATTACTACAACTTGACTTTACACAGGAAATGTCTGCTCCTGGTCTCTGATTTTATAAAATACATTTCCCCCAGACAGTATGACTAATAGTCCAGTGCGACTCATATATGTTTTTTTCTTCTTCATTACACATTTTTTTGGCTGGTGCGACTTATAGTCTGAAGTATACGGTAATATATTATACATCTGAGCTGACCTCATCTGTATTAAATGTTATTGGTCTATAGAATGTTGTGATGTGATCTAAAGCTAACATTATAGCATGTGATTAGACCTGAACTGAGCTTTCATTCAAACCAGACCACTTCAGAACACTTTGAAACAGCAGTAAGTAACTTGTACATTTACATTCTCCACTCCATTTCACATATTTTCCATAAAAGCAGTTCTAGCACATTTTCCCCTTAAGTTTTGCTTGTGAATGTATGTGTGTCTGTACGTGTGTGTGCGTGCGTGTGAGTAAGTGTGTGTGTGTGTGTGTCTATGAGTGTGTGTGTTATTGAGTGAGCCTCTAGGCCTGTGCACTCCACTGACCCGGGCTCTCAGCTCACAGCTCTTACAGTCTCTTTTTGTCATCAGGAGAAAACCAAAACTTTTACTCTTATTTCTAATGGTGTGTGGAGGAGACCGAGGAGACTAAAGTAGAACCAAAGCACAACTAAACCAGGTCTAAACCGGGTCTCAACCGAGTCTAAACCAGGTCGAAACCAAGTGTAACCTAGATCTAAATCAGGACTAAGCAAGATCTAAACCAGATCTAAACCAGGACTAAACCTCTCTGCTTATCTGGACTTGCTTTGGTGGTGTAGCTCAGTGTTTCCCAAACTTTTTTTTCTGGGGATCCATATTTGTGATCCAAGTCAATAGACATTATTCGTAAATCACAAAATAAAGGTGGATTTGAGCATTACTGAACATTAATGAGAATATTTTATTGTTGACTGAGACAATTAGTATTACTCAAGTTTTAAGCAAAGTCATTGAAGCAGCAACAAAAGGATCCATAAGCCGCTTATTTGGACATTAAATGCAGAACATTTCTTTTCTTTTCAACATTCAATTGAACCAGTAATACTGGAACAAAACAGTCAATAAAATAATTACAAAAAGATTAGTGAAGAATCCCTCAGTTGTCCAGGTAGAATCCATGGTGAGGAGAAAATTCAGTTTGTCGACTGGACAAAAGTTAATTTAACTTTTGTCCAATTGATTCTCCTCGCCATACAAAAAGATTAGGAATTATACAAAACATGTCTTGACATATCAACATGTGTCAGAACAGATCTACCTGCAGATTGTAACAAGGAGCCGGAGACAGGCTGCGAGCCGTAACAGCGATCCCCCAAAAAATCTCTTGTGATTCACCTGACCATATCTTTGTGAAACAATGTTGTAGGTGATGTAGTGCATATTTCACTTTAACCTAGATTTGAACTGATCAAAACCAGGTCTCAACAAGTTCTAAACAAGGTCTAAATCCATTCTAAACCCAGTCCAAACCTTGACTAAACAAGGTCTAAACCAGGACCAAACCAGAACTCAACCAGGTCTAAAGCAGGTTTAAACCAAGACTAAGCCAGGAGTAAACCAGGACTAAACTCAGGTCTAAACCAGGTCTGAACAGGCCTAAAAACCAGGTCTAAACCGGGACCAAACCAGATTTAAAATTGGTGCTGTGTTACCTTGGCGTTGTAGGGGATGTAGTGTTTGGCGAGGGCTTCTGGGGTGTGCATCCATGTTTTATCTGAAAAACACAAACAAACACGTCAGTATTTCAGGAGTTCTTTTTTTTTTTTTTTTTTTTTTTTTTACTGTGTTCGATATGAGCCCTTCCCTGGTCACACAGACTCACAGTACACACTCCATCACACACACACAGACACACACACACGCACGCAAGCACGCACACACAGCAACACGACCCGTAACACAAAACATGAGAGGAGTGGGTGTGCTGTTCCACTAATGCACCAGCTTTGTGCCATGTTCTAATGTTCCCTCATCACAAACGCGCCATGTTCAGCAGTTACCATGGTGACACAATGCACACATTAGCAAACACTGCCGAAAACGCTTTAACATGTAATAAAACAGTATAAAACATATTTAAACAACTCATTTTCTGGAGCCTGTGGTCAATTCGAGCGTTCATGGTTTGATTTTTAACAAAAAGCTGAGAGGGACATAGAAAGATCACCTGTTCTAGTTCAGCTAAGTCAATTCTTTATGGTGAAATTGAGCTAAAATAAAACTCCCAGGGAATGTTGATGACATCAGCTGCAAAGTATCTATGGTTATGTTTACACTGAAACGAAGCCGTATCACCGTATTGGAAACGATCTGCGTCCAGACACGTCGTTTCTGTGTCCGCAATCCTTCCCTATCCACACAGATTTGAGCATATTTGTTTACGTTTTACAGAAATTTAACTTAAAACCACATGGCTAATTTGCATAAACTGAGAGCTCAAAAAAACAGACTCAGTGGAATCTGAGTGTTCTTTCTGTGACAGAGGGATGTTCTGCTGATGGTGAGTCTGTTCTGTGTTTCTGTCACGTTGGAGATGGTTCATGTTAAACTTTTCAGAGATTATATGTAGGGGTGGCACGGTATGCGTATTCATATTGAACCATCACGGTACAGGGGTTACGGTTCCGTACGAGCATTTTCACGTAGAATACACAGTACAAAATAAAGTTCCTTCAGGACTCATTTACCCATTTGCATCTGAAAACTTTGATTGGTCTAGCTTTTTGAACTCCGACCTTCTAATACAACCTCTGCTTGGTAGTTTGTTTTGATGCTCTCTGGTTGCGAGTTAAATCATTTTGAGAATGGCGAGTGGAGTTGTCAGCTGCACATTCATTCGCTCTCACGACAGATTCGTGGAGTTCTCGAGCTACCGAAAGCTTCCTTACAGTAACAGCACATTTTATCAGCTCTGCGTGGGAGATGAGAACGGTAGTCCTACAAAGGCGCCATTTATAGGCGAGTTTCAGCTGACATCATTATTATTAAAAGCGTGCGTTGCATGCTGGGAAATATTTTGGTTGGAGGCAAGAAACAGGATAGTGGTCAAACACAGTGCGTAACCTCGCGTATTTATCCCCGATAATGGTAAATTCCTGCTGCATTATCGGATGCACAAATAGAAGCAGAAGAAGGAAAATGTCTTTTTCGTATTCTGAGTGAAAAGAACCACTAACGGTGAATTAAATGACTTTCAAACATTCACAGAGCAAACGTAGAAGATCCTAACAAACCGTGGACTCCAACAAGTTCAACAACACATCGAGACTCTTGGAGGTTTTCATCTTTTCTGCTGTGAATGACCCAGGAGTTTCCCCCAAGTCATTGTGGATATCGTCGAAGTGAATTTGGTTTGGTCCACCTTTTGTCTGGGTTGAAAAGGGTGATTTGGCTCCATCGATGCTTATGACCAATTTCTGGTCAAATGGTCTTGGGTCCTCTGCCGTTAGAGTGGATAAATAACCGGGATCAATACCCTTTACGTGTTTTCTCCCTCCGTCCGTCATGTTGAATTAGTGTTTCTTGCCGCCGACCAAAATAATTCCCAGCATGCAATGGGCGCTTTTATCAACAATGAAACTCGCCTATAGAGAAGCACACAAGCAGTCACCTTGCTGAGAAATGTAAAGCTACCAAAGAGGCCATTTGGCAAAACTGCACTGATGCACCTACCAGTAGAGCTGGTCTTCTATGTGGTGCTTGTTCACTTATTGTTTCAGATTGTTTCAGGATGTTGCAGCTACCTCAGATTTGAACAATAAAAACAGCCTTTTTGGTTAGTTTTTTTTTTTTTTTTACCCTGCACTGTACTGAAAATTTACAGAACCGTAGGGTCTGAACTAGGAATGGGCATGATTAGTCGATTAATCGATAATTAATCATTAAGAATTTCATCGATTACATTAATTTTAATTGACAAAACGAATGTATGGTTGCTGTGTGTAGTGTGACCACACAGGTCTGTACATGTGTCTCTGCATCAGAAGGAGCGAGACACAAACATTCAGTCAGTCTGCAACGTACCGAAGCACAAATGTGTATTTAACGATGATTTGTACAAGAAAGTCCACGCTTTCCGTTGCGTTCAGGACAAGTGTGAGTCCATGTGCACAGTGTACAAAGCAGCACATATGTTTCGGTGTCCAGTGGGAAAAAGTTTTGCCAGGTGAGAATCGCTCAATGTCGGATGACGAGTCCCCACCTCCCTCCCCCCGTACGGTGTCCTGGTTTTGACAAACACAAATCTGGTCACACTAACCTGTATTCACCTGAGTCATGTCTTTTAATCCAACAGAAGTTGAACCACATCAGCGACACAAGAGCTGTAGTTTTATCTTCGCTTAGTTTATGCAAATTAGCGATGCGGTTTTAAGTTTCATTTCTGTGAGAGTTGAACAAAACTGAATTAAACACATTATAATAAACGGGCTGATGTGGCTCTAGAGTGGTCACGGTTTATATGTCGTAAAGTTGAATTTATTTATGCAGATTAGTAGTGCAAATAGTAAAAATAATGATGATCATTTTAATATAAAAAACATTAATGATTAATCGATAATTGATCATTAATTCTTCCGACGATCGATTAAGAAAATTTCATCGAATGGTCATCCCTAGTCTGAACCGAGGTACGTACCAAACCGTGACTTTTGTTTACCGTACCATCCCTAATTATACATCTGCAGGTCGTACACACAGACCGTTTATATGAATGGACATATATTCTACCCTCTCAGTGTTTTGGCGGTGAATTACTTCACGGTGCATAGACCTACATCAGCGTATAAACATTTTCAGGTGTCCTCACAGTGCTGGATCAGATCTGTACTCAGATGAATTCATGGGAGCTGGAGGCACCAGATCGTTCCGTCTCTGGAGCCGTTTTCCATCTGATTAGTGTGGACGAACACTGCATCCACAACGAAAACAACTCAAATACGTACTAGTGTGGATGAGGCCTATATATCTGATTGTATTGTGATGTCACTCTGAAGGGGGGGTGATTTAGCACAGGGGAGGGGTGACTCAGTGTCAAAAACAATAGTGAAACTAATTAAACCTGTGAATAAGTGTTGAATTTCTGGTACAGATGTTTGTGCATTCTCCTGCAGACCAGTGTAAGGGTCAGATGGACCAGTCGATAACAGATCGGACACTAAAGACGGGAGGAAATTCAAATGAGCTCATCGACATCTGCTACAACCAAATGTCTGTGTAAAACTCACAAAATACAAATAATGATTCTCCAAATACACCAGATCAGAACGAGGCGAAACCAGATTTAAGGGCGCACTCACACTAGGCCTTCTGACCCCCGCTGTGCTCAAACCATAGACTGTATCAAAAAAAATTGGACTAAGCGAGTGTGACATCACCCACAGAGTTCAGCGCCGCACAAGAGGCTCGCGATGCTTAATATGAACATTTTAAGACCAAAATGACATGGCTCACAGCAGCAGGTACAGAGAGAGTGACGACAAGATCCAAATGTAAGTCATATACGGTCTATGTCTCAAACACGACTGTGGAGGGTTCTATAATCACACCTGCACAACCTGATTCACACCCCATGAGTAAGTGTGTGTGTGTGAGTAAGTGTGTGTGTGTCTATGAGTGTGTGTGTGATCGAGTGAGCCTCTAGGCCTGTGCACTCCGCTGACCTGGGCTCTCAGCTCCCACAGTCTCTTTTTGTCATCAGGAGAAAACCAAACTTTTACTCTTATTTCTAATGGTGTGTGGAGGAGACCGAGGAGACCGAGGTAGAACCAAGACACATCTAAATCAAGTCTAAAGCAGGTCTAAAGCAAGTCTAAAGCAAGTCTAAAGCAGGTCTAAACCAAGTCTAAAGCAAAGGTCTAAACCAAGTCTAAACCAAATCTAAAGCCAAGTCTAAAGCAAGTCTAAACCAAGTCTAAACCAAGTCTAAACCAAGTCTAAAGCAAGTCTAAACCAAGTCTAAAGCAAGTCTAAACCAAGTCTAAAGCAGGTCTAAACCAAGTCTAAAGCAAGGTCTAAACCAAGTCTAAAGCAAGTCTAAAGCAAGTCAAAGTCTAAACCAAAGTCTAAAGTCAAGTCTAAAGCCTAAACCAAGTCTAAAGCAAGTCTAAACCAAGTCTAAACCAAGTCTAAACCAAAGGTCTAAACCAAGTATAAAACAGGTCTAAAGCAAATCTAAACCAAGTCTAAATCAGGTCTAACCAAGTTTAAACCAGACCTGCACAACCTGAACCACAGTCCCATGACTTTATCACACAACCCTGTGTGTTTATATGTAGAGTTCTGTGCCATGCTGTGGTCCACCACCTCTGACCTCCTCCAACCTCCTCCAACCTCCTCCAACCTCCTCCAACCAAGTCCCAACTTGTTTGCAATCACACTGGACATATGTGTTACGTTCGGGCTCGGGTCAGACTCAGACACATCAGCACGTCAGCTGTTTCTCGTCTACAGTAAAACCACTCACTTTAAGACTCTTAATAATAATAATAATAATAAATAATAATAATAATAATAATAATAATAATAATAATAATAATAATAATAATTATTAATTATTATTATTATTATTATTATTATTATTATTTATTTCTGGACACTGGTTGCTTTACGACAACATAAACAAATTCAATACTATTAAAACATACAACATACATAAAACAAGTGTTGAAAAGATCTGAGCTCTGCACTTCTAGTTTAGATACAAGTCAAAATGGT